TACAGGAAAGCAGTTTTGGAGTATTATGTGTGTGTTAAAAAATAAAATTGGGGAGGTAAGCAGGATCAGACTTAAAGCTGTATGAAAGAATCAGGACTTGATCCTGAAGAGAATGTGGAGAAACGGAATTGTTCCAAATGGAAATAAAATCAGATTTATGCTTTGGACTTGGGATGGACCAACTGGAGGAGAGCAGAAGGCTGGCTGGGGCCATCTGTTGGATGATGGAGGCGTGAACTAAGGGAGTGGCAGTGGGCTCAGAAAGCCATGAGAATATTATCAAAGAGATAATCAGGAGGTAGAAGAGATAGGATTTGGTGATAGATTGAATGTAGGGACTGAGGCAGGAGAGTCTGGGATGACATTTGAGTGTCTCAATTAAGGGTGATTAGTGTACAACTCACAGAAAGGTCTGAGAGAAGAAAATAAGTTCAATTATTGATATGTTTAAGTTCGAGACGGATATGGTAAGTTCCATGCCTGGGGCAGACATGGCCATGTAATACTGGCTGCTCTATCTGAACTCCAGAGATATATGGGATGGAGATGAAATTAGGAGCAGTCAGCATAAATGTAGTATTGACACCATGGGTATGGACAAGATTAAGGGAGGATGTGAAGGTTTGAGAAAATAAAGCTTGTGATAGAACACTTGGGATATGATTAAGGGATGGATGGAGAAAGATACAGCTTCAGTGAACGCTGAGGAATGACCAGAAGGATGTGGAGGAAAACTAGAGAGTTCTGACTCATGAAAGATAAGAATGCATTTCAAGGTTAGATTTTCCTAGAACATGTTCAATACCTTACTGTTGCAATACTTTCACACTTGTATTTCTCATTTTCTCATGCTGCATTATAAGCTCTAGGATCATAGTGTCTCTATTGGCCTTATTGAACTAAGGGGGCTGCAATGGGCTTGGAAAGCCTTGAGTGTATCATTAAAGAGATAAGTAGGAGATAGCAGAGACAGAATTTGATGAAAGATTGTATGTAGGGATTGAGGAAGGAGGAAGGGTCTGGCATGACATTTGGGTGACATTTTATCCAAGTATTCAGCACACTGTCTGGTACTTAGTAGGTACTCATATATCAATGAAAGGGCTGATCTTTAGGAGTTTCAGCAGACTGTGGAAGGTGCCTCTGGGAATGAGTATGTTTCCAACTGCACTTCATTCTCAAGTTTTGTGGCCAATGATGGATAGGAGGTGGATTGTGATGTATTCAGAACATGGGACCTTGAGGAGTTCCGTAACCAAAAGGACAAAGTAACAACAGCCAGTGGAGACAAAAAGAACTGCTTCTCTTTCTTTCCCCCTCCAACTTCCTAGTGGAGGGCTGAGCCCAGCATCCCAGACTTGTGTGACTATATAGGCAAACATCTGGAGACCTACTTCACTTTGATACCCTAGCCTTCGGCGGCTCAAGGTGTTGGCCTTTGGATAGGAAGCTTCCAATAGTAAAGCTCCCTGCTCTCAGCAAGCCCAACACCATGGGGAAGGGAGATGTCGTAGAGGCAGCACCGACCACCACAGCCTACCACTCCATCATGGATGAATATGGTTATGAGGTGGGCAAGGTCATTGGCAATGGCTCCTATGGGACAGTATATGAGGCTTTCTACACAAAGCAGAAGGTCATGGTGGCAGTCAAGATCATATCAAAGAAGAAGGCCTCTGATGACTATCTTAACAAGTTCCTGCCCCGTGAGATACAGGTTGGAAAGGGGGCTAGAAGAGGGAACTGGAGCTTGGTACTAAGCTGCTTGAGGTTTCTCAGAAGGGGTATGGCCACGAGGGGTGGGGCCAGAAATCCCTAAACCAGAACTGAATGTCTCACTAGCAGCTAGGAAAATTTATGTAAGTTAAACCTCTTTCCCATCCACCCACTCACCTCCAGCCCCCCAAAAAGTAAAGGTGCTAAACATAGCATTTGACCACAGGCCACCAGTTCTCTGGGGTTGAGGGGTTGATCCTATTGCAAAGTTCTAAGTCAGTAGCTGAGGGCAGGAGATGGCTGGGAGTGCCATCACAGTTCTCCCTTCCCAGGTTTGATGGGTCCTTCTTCTGGGGTCAGGTAATGAAAGTCTTGCGGCACAAGTACCTCATCAACTTCTATCAGGCCATTGAGACCACATCTCGAGTATACATCATTCTGGAGCTGGCTCAGGGTGGTGACGTCCTTGAATGGATCCAGCGCTACGGGGCCTGCTCTGAGCCCCTTGCTGGCAAGTGGTTCTCCCAGCTGACCCTGGGCATTGCCTACCTGCACAGCAAGAGCATCGTGCACCGGTGAGGGCGCTGCCACCCAGACTGGGTCCTTTGCCCTCAAGGGGGTTTTATGCACATCTCCCATTTGCTGCCCTTTTTTCCTCTCTCGAACTCCCTCCTCAATATCTAGGCCTATTCATGTACTCTATTTTAATCATATGGTCAAGGATACTGATAAAGTACTCACTGTATGCACAGCATTTTATGAAATATGATGGTGAGCTCCCAGTGGTCCTCAGATACCATCCTCTCTCTCTCTCTCCCTACTTTGGGCTCTGCTCACAACTCCATGGCTTTCCTTCCTCTCTACCTTGTGCCCTCATAATGGTTTCTACCTCCCACTTCTTTCCTCATCTTTACCCTCTGACCCCTGGCCCTTCAGCTCCCAGTCTAAAACTAAGCCCTCTCCCCAGCCTGATGCCCAGCCTTTCTGCTGCTGGTAGGGACTTAAAGTTGGAGAATCTGTTGCTGGACAAGCGGGAGAATGTGAAGATATCAGACTTTGGCTTCGCCAAGATGGTGCCTTCTAACCAGCCTGTGGGTCGTAGCTCTTCTTACCGCCAAGTGAACTGCTTTTCCCACCTCAGCCAGACTTACTGTGGCAGCTTTGCTTATGCTTGCCCGGAGATCTTACTAGGCTTGCCCTACAACCCTTTCCTGTCTGACACCTGGAGCATGGGCGTCATCCTTTACACTCTAATGGTCGCCCGTCTGCCCTTTGATGACACCAATCTGAAAAAGCTGCTGAGAGAGACTCAGAAGGAGGTCACTTTCCCAGCTAACCATACCATCTCCCAGGAGTGCAAGGTACTGGCTACCTAAGGAGGGGTGAGCCCTCAGGGATGACCAACAGGGAGGGGTGAATATCCAACCTACGTCACCCAACCTAGGCCTCCCAACCCTGGGGAAAGGCTCTTCCCACACCAGAGCCATCTTACACACTAGTTCCTGTCCTATAATAAACAGTATGGAAGGCATAAAGGGCCAACCACTAGGCTCCAAACCTTGCTTGATACACAGGTTCTAGCTTCTGTCTCTTTAGGCCAGAAGAGAATTATGGAAAGCATTCCTCCCAAGGAACTTTTCCCTTCCCCTCCAGGGAGTTAACTGCCTGGCTCTCCAAGATAAAATCAGAGCCACACCCACTTTGACCAGAGTGGCATGATGGGCTATCCTGCTTCTTTCTTAGGTCCAGCTGCTCATTGCTTGCGTGGCACAATGGAGAAAAACTCAGGCAAGACCTCTCTCTCCCCTGCTCTAGAACCTGATCCTCCAGATGCTACACCAAGCCACTAAGCGTGCCACCATTCTGGACATCATCAAGGATCCCTGGGTGCTCAAGTTCCAGCATGAACAACCCACCCATGAGATCAGGCTCCTAGAGAACATGTGCCAGCTCCACAACACCACTAAACATCACCAATCCTTGGAAATTACGACCTGAAAATGGCTGAAGGAGGGGGCTAAGAGAGGAGCAAGCAGGAGGTCTTGGGCCAAAAATCTTTTATACCAAAAATAAATCTAAGTCTGATTTAGTTTTATCAGCTAGGGTCAAAGACATTCTTTTCTCAAGGCAATCTTACAGCAGGGAACACTGCTGGGGTAAGAGACGATTTCTGCCCACAGCCTGTAACCATGACACTGTTAAATCAACAGTGTAATTCATGACGTGGCTCATAGGAGATGGGGTGCTCAGATTAACACTCTATTTTGGGAAGCTTTATTATTCAACTCGATATATGCTCATTATTTTACATCTTTGTGCTGTTTAAATGCTCAAGCGGTGGGGCAAAAGCCCTGGTTGCTCCACTTTGATTATGGCTCTGCCTGTCTATAGTCCAAGATGATGGCACTGTTAGTTCTTTTAGAAATGGGTATTCGAGCTGGGTGCAGTGACTCACGCCTGTAATCCCAGCACTTTGGGGGACCGAGGTGGGCAGATCACTTGAGGTCAAGAGTTCGAGACCAGTCTGGCCAACTTGGCAAAACCCCGTCTCTACTAAAAATACAAAAATTAGCCGGGAGTAGTGGCACCTGGCTGAGGTGTGAGAATCACTTGAACCTGGGAGGCGGGGATTGCAGTGAGCCAAGATCGCCCTATTGCACTCCAGCCTGGGTGACAAAGTGAGACTGTCTCAAAAAAAAAAAAAAAAAGAAAAGAAAAGAAAAGAAATGGGTATTTGGGTGTATGAAGGACCTCGGTTCCTTTTCCCTCTTCCAGTGTCACCTTAACCACTACTGATAGAATAGCAGGGAGACAAGGCTTCTCACACTATTGTTCCCAGACATAGAATTCAAACCAAGCCTTCTAGTAGTGAAAGCTACTATGGGTTCTGGACAAAGGAAAGCTACTTGCTCCTTCTATGGTATTCTCCCTCCTTGTCCTTGAAAATGGGCTTTGTAAAACAAATTTGGGGTTGTCTTGGCAGAGGCACGACCAGGGGAAAGCAATGAGGGAAGACTCAGAGATGCCTACACATGGTTCTAAGTGGTAGATGGCAGTTTCTTCAATCGCAGCAACTAGGCAACTCTAGGACAAACCGACTTGAAAGATGAAACAGTGTTTGTCTGGAACATAGGTTGAGATATTAGGAATGCCCATTTGTTCTATGTTCCAACCTCCCTTCTTTGCTGTAATTATTCATTGCTTGAAATAAGGCTCTTGAGGACAAGGCTCCAAGGGCCAGGGGAACAGCTTCAGCGGTAGACAAGGCAGTATAGACACTAGGATTCCATCTGCCCAGTTTTATTGGGAACAAGGGCATTATAACTGCTATCAAAGAGAAGGGAGCCCAAGGGCTCCTTCTGTAGCAAGATCTTCTTCAGAGTTGAGCCAGGGCTGGGAGGGCAAGATACCCTTTTTTCAGGCAGGGTCATACTACCACCCTCAGCAGGACTTCCCCAAAAAGTTATTCTCCTTTAGCTCAGCATTTGGCACTTAAGGAAAAAAGGACCAACAAAGGTAGCATTAGGAAGACAAGCCCAGATTTATCAGGATACCCACTCAGCCAACTGCTTTAGTGCTTCTTCATCTTCATCCGCTTTGGGAGCTTTGAGGACAAAGATACCCAGAGAAAAGAAAGGAGAAGGATTAAGGTCTCAGCAACTCCAACCATCCCCTACTATGACATTCAGAGCCTGCTGAATTCTCTCTCCCCACAAAAAACCTAAAGGTGTGGTCCTTCTGCTTGCTAGGCTGCTGTTCAATCCCATAGCACCTTTGTGCAAATTAGAAAAAAGGTGCCTCTTGCTCCTGCCATTTGTAGCCCTAAACCAGGGTACACAGCTTGCTGAGTGAAGCACAGGCTAGGTAGGTGCCCATATGCAGTCAACAACCTGCACAACTGCAGCAGCAGCCCTTTCTGTGTGGCTCCTTTGAGGCAGGATGGATGAGGAATAATCTTTCCCCATACCTCTCCTACCCTCTTAAGTCCTCAAGACAACAGAACAACCCTGCATACCTGGCTCTGCCGGCAGATGAGTAGAAGGTACACTAGGCAATTTGACTGGGGGTTCTTCCTCCTTGTCGCCCACACTTAACAACTCCTGGGCCAATTCCTCCTGTTCCAGCAACTCTAGCTCCTCCAGCAGTTCATCCTGTATAGGGAAGACAAGACCATTTAAGATGAAGAAAAAAACATCTACCTCCAAAAACATATTGCTTTTGAAGTTCCCTCCCAAACTTGCCCCAAGAGCCTCTCTTGGGTGTTCCTTCTGGCCAGTCCCATACTTTCTCCAAAATGCCCTGACCCCTCACCCCCAATCACCTCATCCACATCATCTCCAAAGCCCATAGGCCGAGAAATGGCATCTGAGATCTGCTGGGCCACCTCCTGTTGTTCTGTGATGTCAGTCATCAGTTCATCTACCTTGTCAATGTCCCTGAGAATGAGACAGACAGCTAAGAAATCAGGCAACAATGCCCCCTTGACTTCCTCATCTCACATGAATGAAGCCCCTCCTGCCTTGTATTGTCACACTGATAAGCCCATAGCTATCAATCAGAAGAGATCCCTGGAAAACTGCAAAGATGCAAGTCTGGGCTAAGAAATAGCAAGGAGCCACACTGGAGAGGATAGGTTTCATTCCCTTTCCTGAAGGATCTTTAAGAATTAGAAAAGGTAGCCGGGAGCGGTGGCTCACAGTTGTGATCCCAGCACTTTGGGAGGCCAAGGCAGGTGGATCACCTGAGGTCAGGAGTTCAAGACCAGCCTGGCCAAAATAGTGAAACTCCATCTCCACTAAAAATACAAAAATGAGCTGGGAACAGTAGCGCACAACTGTAATCCCAGCTACTCAGGAGGCTGAGGCAGGAGAATCACTTGAACCCAGGAGGCAGAGGTTGCAGTGAGCCGAGATGGTGCCACTGCACTCCAGCCTGGGTGACAGAGCAAGACTGTCTCAAAAAACAAAACAAAACAAAAAAAGAATTAGAGAAGGCATCTTTGCTCCCTAGAATGCCCCAGGCAGCAAAAGAATCTTATAGGAAGCAAGGGGCAGACAGAGGTCTAGCCATTACAAGTATCTATACTGCAAATCCACATTCTGAGAGGCTTTAAAGTTTAAAGTGTGAGGCCGGGCGCGGTGGCTCACGCCTCCCAGCACTTTGGGAGGCCGAGGTGGGCAGATCACGAAGTCAGGAGATCGAGACCATCCTGGCTAACACAGTGAAACCCCGTCTCTACTAAAAATACAAAAAAAAAAAAAAAAAAAAAGTCGCTGGGCGTGGTGGCGGGCGCCCGTAGTCCCAGCTACTTGGGAGGCGGAGGCAGGAGAATGGCGTGAACCCGGGAGGTGGAGCTTGCAGTGAGCCGAGATTGCGCCACTGCACTCCAGTCTGGGCCACAGAGCAAGACTCTGTCTCGGGGGGGGGAAAAAAAGTTTAAAGTGTGATAGCAAGCCACTCTTCCCAGTTCTTGAGTCCCCTCCACCCCTTCCCCGTACCCACATGTCCTGGTAGGCTTTCTTCATGCCTTGGGCAGCAAGCTCCATGGTACGAAGGACTTCTGCATTGGTGGTGGCATTCTCAATGGCCTCACGCTGAAACTCCAGGGTGGATAAAGTCCCGTCAGTTTGTGCCAGCTGCTGTTCGAATCTTTTCTTCCTCCGCAAAGCCTGTAGGGCAGCTGACCCAGCCGATACCCTTAACATCAAGGGTCAGAAGCACCTGCTTCCCATCTGGGCCCTCCCCATAGGCTTGTTTCCCTCATTACCTCTCTTATTCTTGGTCCCATACTTCTTGGCTGTTTGTAGCTCCTGTTGAATCTTCTGCTCCAAAAATTCCTGTTTCTTGATCAGTATCTTCTCTGTCTCCTTCAGTTTCTGTATTGCTTCTTCAGGGGTTGGCCCTTTCTCCTTCTTACCTGAGGAGTCCAGTGGAGTAGGCCCAAATTTTGTGAAGAAAAAATATTAGCCACCAATCATTGAATACATAGTATGTGCTAGGGACCTGACTGTGTTATTGTTAATCCCCAAATCTCTACAATGAATGTGCTCTGTCTTCACTTAAAAATGTGAAAACAACCACAAAGATGTTAAAAATCACAATTAATAAGAGATTGTTCAGGAATCAAAATGTGGCAGTATGAGTTCTAAAACCAATATTCTTTTTACTATTCCTGGCTGCCTTTTTTTTTCTTTAGGCAAAGTTTCGGTCTTGTTGCCCAGGCTGGAATGCAATGGCGTGATCTTGGCTCACCTCAACCTCCGCCTCCTGGGTTCAAGCGATTCTCCTGCCTCAGCCTCCCAAATAGCTGGGATTACAGGCATGTGCCACCACGCCTGGCTAATTTTTTGTATTTTTAGTAGAGACAGGGTTTCTCCATGTTGGCCAGGCTGGTGTCAAACTCCCAGCCTCAGGTGATCTACCTGCCTTGGCCTCCCAAAGTGCTGGGATTACAGGCGTGAGCCACCGTGCCAGGCCTTCTTTTTTTTGAGACGGAGTCTCGCTCTGTTGCCCAGGTCAGAGTGTAGTGGCATGATCTAGGCTCATTGCAACCTCCGCCTCCTGCGTTCAAGTGATTCTCCTGCGTCAGCCTCCCTGAGTAGCTGGGACTACGGGCACACATCACCATGCACACCTAATTTTTGTATTTTTTTTTTTTCTTTTGAGATGGAATCTCCCTCTGTCACCCAGGATGGAGTGCAGTGGCGCAATCTTGGCTCACTGCAACCTCTGCCTCCTGGGTTCAAGCAATTCTCCTTCCTCAGACTCCCTGAGTAGCTGGGACTACAGGTGCGCGCCACCACACCCAGCTAATTTTTTTTTTTTTTTTTTTGTATTTTTAGTAGAGACGAGGTTTCACCATGTTGGCCAGGCTGGTCTCGAACTCTTGACCTCAGGTGATCCACCCGCCTCGGCCTCCCAAAGTGCTGGGATTACAGGCGTGAGCCACCGCGCCCGGCCAATTTTTGTATTTGTAGCAGAGACAGGGTTTCACCATATTGGCCAGGCTGGTCTTAAACTCCTGACCTCATGATCCACCCACGTCGGCCTCCCAAAGTGTTGCGATTACAGGCGTAAGCCACCGCGCCCGGCCAAGAAGGCAGTCTTTCTTCTTCATCTTAGATCCCTCTTGCCCAGCACAAAGTATTATAGAACAAGGTTTTGAAAAGGGCTGAAGACAGCAGGAAACTCATCTTCAAGCCTGAACAGTGGGAGCCAGCACGATCGCCACGCCCTCAACTCAAGTCCCCTCCCCGATCTTGAGTTCTTCCCTCAGAGAGTGAGGGAGGACGGCGGACGGGAACCAGGCGCCTTGACATGGTGTGCCTTCTGGCACCGGCGATGAGCCTTGCTCCGCCATCGGCCGCCGGGGTTTTCCAGTCAGCCTGTCTCCTGATTCTCTTCCCCTGCCCGGCGCAGCGGTCCGGCCGAATCTCGCCGGGATCTCCTCTTCCCCTGCACCAGCCAGCGCCTCCTGGCTGGCCAGTCCCACCCCGGCTCACCCTTCCCGAAGAGCCTGCCGAGACCACTCATCGCGAGCTCGCCTATCCCGCCTCCGCCCCTCGGCGTCCTCCAGACTTCCGCCTTGCTCCTGGGAGGGTGATGGTCTCATCACACAGGGACCAGCTTTGCCCAATCCCTCCTCAGGGAGCCGCCGCGACATCATCAAGAGGCGCAAACGAGACCACCGCTGTCACGTGACCCAAGCCACCAGTCCCAGACGGAGGTGCTCCTCTTAAAGCAGCCACATCATTTTCTATTACATAAAAAGGCAGTCCTGTCTCCACCCCAGAGTATGTGCTTGTTCTCCGGAAGGAAATGTGCAGTGTGATGGCACCTCAATGTATGGGGTCAGTGGGAAAACTCTTCATGCTCTTTACAGGGCTCAGGAAAGTGGGGTGGTATAGGTTCAAGCACTTGGGGTTGCCCTAAGTTTAGATAGCAAACCTGATGCAGTCTAATGTCTCACATTCTGGTCTTTGCACCTCAGGACAACCAACCCCATTTCACAGGCTAGAAAAATAGAAACTCCCCACACTGTGAGTAAAAATCTCTACTGTCACACACAGATGAACTTTAATAAATTACAAATGCACTTGAAAATGTCTTCTTGATTTCCTTTCAGTTTAGGCCTCAAATGGGCTTTCCTCAAGGCTGGACCTCAAGGCCCAGTTTGGGCCTTTGCAAATGTCTCTAACCCTTGACTTAGAGTTTGAAGATTCATTCCATTCTGGATATGAATGCAGGTAACACCTAGAAAGATAAGAAGTCACATTTCATCAGGCTTTCAGGGTTCTCCATTATCACTCTGACCTTTGTGGGTGCCACCTATAGGGCAAACTATCCATCCTGTGTGTATCTACCTAATCCCTCCTAGGGACCCCAAATGGCTGTTGCTTATCACTCAGTACCCAGTTTGCTGACGTCTACAATATTCCGCCTCTCATCATCGAAGAAGATCATCTGGGAGAAAGGAATTCCAGTCTTCTGCTGCAACCTGTGGAAGATAGGGCATGGGTAACCAAGCTAGTATCTTGGTTTCCCAAGCCTCTCTGGTACTTTCTCACCCTGCTCCTCCCTTATGTCCGCATACCTCTCAAAGTGTGTGACTTTGCTGCCTGGATAGATTTCCCGATGAACAAAGTACCTGATGAGGTCAAAGAGCTCCAGTAGCTGGTTGGCCCCTTCTATCTCACTTGTCCTGCAAAACGGTGTAAAAGATGGGATTACCAAAGTGAAGGGCCAGGGCTACGTTAACTTATTAAGCAAAGTTAGTAAGTATAGCCAGGGAAATCAACTTGCTGTTTTTCTGGGATGGACAGGCATCCTCAGCCTCTGTTTAACTCCATTGCCTTCCTGTTTGACGAAATTGGTGCTGGGCCAAAGTTTTAGTTTTTGTTTTGAGACGGGGTCTAGCTCTGTCACCCAGACTAGAGTGCAGTGGCCCAATCATGGCTCACTGCGGTCACAACGTCCTGGGCTCAAGTGATCCTCCCACCTCAGCCTTCCAAGTAGCTGGGACTACAGGTGCACGCCACCACATTTTTTTTTTTTGGTAGAGATGGGGTCTCCCTCTATTGCCTAGGCTGGTCTCAAATTGCTGGGCTCAAGTGATCCTCCCTCCTAGGACTCCCAAAGTGCTAAGATTACAGGTGTGAGTCACTTTGCCCGGCCTCACTTTTTTTTTTTTTTTTTTTTTTGAGACACTGTCTCACTCTGTCACCCAGGCTAGAGTGCAGTGGCTCCATCTCAGCTCACTGCAACCTCCACCTCCTGGGTTCAAGCGATTCTCCTGCCTCAGCCTCCCGAGTAGCTGGGATTACAGGCGCCCGCTAATTTTTGTATTTTTAGTAGAGACGGGGTTTCACCACGTTGGTCAGGCTGGTCTCGAACTCCTGATCTCGTGATCCGCCCGCCTTGGCCTCCCAAAGTGCTGGGATTACAGGAGTGAGCCACGGCGTCCGGCTGCCGGCCCCACTTTTTAATAGTTAAAAGACCAAGGAGAAAAAATATGCAAATACTTGCAAACTTGCACCGCCCCTATTTTTGTAGCCCAGGGGTTTCACTGTAAGTCTCTTGCATGCACCCTTCAGCATTACACTATCAGTTGTCAGTCGCTCTTACCTTGAAGCAGCCGCACCGGGCACCCCAAGACTCTGCAATCGTTTTAGGACCTCAGGCACCTCTGGGTACAGTCGGACGTCTTGGCCCCGCCTATCTCGTACAGTTCCATCACTGGGGAGGGCAAGAGTGCGCTCAGCCCTGGCTGGGTCCCATCTCGCCCCAGTCCTCCCTGTCCCTACCTCACCTGCTCTTATGGAACGGAGGGTCCACGTGCGTGTCGACCCAGAAAGGCCAGAGAGTGTAATCTGAGAGAGGAAGGAGAGGGAAGGTTCAGCCTGGTGGTGGGGGACGCAGGGATTCGGGAGCAGCAGTTAGGGGTATGGAAAAGGACGGCGCCTTACGAAATTCTCCTTCCCGTCCCTCACCCAAATCAAAGACTGCCAGCTTCGGTAGCCGCGCCATGACCCGCACCGCAGGCTGCGCGCAGCAGAGTTGGTGCTTCACCCAGGGCCGGTAGAGAGTGCGGCACCTCCGGCAGCTAAGGCGGCCACCCCACCTGCCATAGAAAAACGGCTACTAGAGCGTCGCCACTGGGGGCGGCGTCAGCCTAGATATGGCGCAAGAGGGCCATCTGATGCTGGGCGGGGGAGAGGATTGCAGCGAGGTACCAACACGACGGCCACACGCAACCACAGCAGTCAAGTCTCTCCAAGGCATTGGCCACGGGCATCCTCCCTACTTCTCCACTCCACCCAGCCTTGCCCGATTCTATTATACTAAGAAGCCAGGGAAGAAGGAAAGCGTTTTCTAGCACCTGCCTCTTCTTGAGACCCAAGTGATACATTACAGTTTGTCACTCAATCTTTCTCCATTATCAACCTCTTGATAGTGCAGAACCCAAAGCCCTCAGTAATATTCCAGCCAGAGTGCAGTGTTGGCCAAACCCTTGACGGCGTTCTCCAACCAGACCTAAATGTCCAGTAGAGCCACATTCAGAGAGAATTCACTCTCTGAAGGTTTCCACCATCCATGTCAGCACTACACTGGTAGATGTCTAACAACCAGTTTGTGGGGAGGAACTGATCTGTAGTGTTTGCCAGTTTTTGTAAATAATCCTACCATGGCCAATTTCAAGCTACCAACATGAAGTCACTTAAGAAAGTTGGAAAGAGGTGCCAATAGTTGGCTCTCATTAGCCACTAGGAACTGGCTCCAGCACACCAGTAAGTATGTTTTCCTAGAGTCTGATAATCCTTCTAAGAGCACCATCCCTTCCATTGTCCGATTCCTTCAGCCTGCTTAACTGAGTGAGCATTACGTCCATTTTTTATTTCAGTCAACTTGTGCAACAGAAGAAAGATTCCAGGAGGCCAGGAAGTATTTTATTGACAACCAGGGACACAGCCATAAGAGAAGGAAGCACACAGGACTGCAAACTAACACCCAACAGCCAGCAAGGGCCCTCTGGGCCAGGAATACTGAATCCTGGGGTCCGCACAGTCTCCCACCAGTAGATGTACAATACTGGGCATCCAGGGGAGGGGGCAGTGGCTCTGGTGTCCCAGAGAGTGAGAGGATATATGATGCCTCATTATGAGCGACACGGTACAGAGGTAAAATGGAGGGTCCATCACTGCCTAAGACCACCTCCTCCTCTCAGAGCCAACACCAGGTGAAGAACTGAACCACCTAAAATCTTGTAATCAGCTGCTGTCTTCTCATCATTCCTGCAGGAAAAGGAAGCCGAAAAAAAAAGACTTAGGAGTTTTTTTTTTTTTGACAGAGTCTCGCTCTGTCATCTAGGCTGAAGTGCAGTGGCACGATCTCAGCTCACTGCAACCTCCGCCTCCTGGGTTCAAGCAATTCTCCTGCCTCAACCTCCCGAGTAGCTGGGATTACAGGCACCCACTACCACACCCAGCTAATTTTCGTATTTTTAGTAAAGATGGGGTTTCACCATATTGGCCAGGCTGGTCTCGAACTCCTGACCTCAGGTGATCCACCCACCTCAGCCTCCCCAAGTGCTGGGATTACAGGCGTGAACCACCACACCCAGCCAGAACAGAAGTTCTTGAGTTTCATGGATCTCTTTGGGGGTCTGCGAACTTGAATGAGAAAAAAAATCCCATCTTTATTTTTACTAACCCCCAACTGAAATTTAACATTTCTTCTAACTTTAAACAAAGCCCAAAAACCACAGTAGTATTAGCAATATAGGCAAATTGTTAACAATAGAAATTAACTATTTTCTATCATGATCATTTATAGGTATCTTGAAAATATTTCAAAATTATGGTCGTATTAGACCTACCATTAGATCTTATTAATAAAAAAGTACGTATATTACTATATCACAAATTTGTTTTAGTATTTTAATAACTATTTCAATATAATTAGTTTTCTTTTAATTCTATATATTTTGTTTTATGCCTGAAAAAATCTTATTCTGAGAAGGGGCTTAGAGGCTTCACCAGATTGCCAAAGGGTCTAAGGCACCAAAAACAAGAGGCACCCCTGATCCACCTCAGTACGTGCCCCCTCTCATCTCATCTTCACGTAGGATTGCCACGCTGTCATTCTCACTCCAAACTCACATCTGTTTGCCACTGTAGATGAGCCTCTGCTGTTGTGGGGGGATTCCCTCTTTCTCCTCCACACGCTCCTTGATCCGCTCCACCTTTAAAGAGACAAGTAGTCAGGGGCTGCTCAGGGGTAGGACCATGGAAATGGAAAGAACAAGGGCTATGCAGACAGCATAAGAGCAAAAGGACCAAGTTCATAAGCATATGCAAACAAATATACATGGCAAGAAGTGCATGAAGAGGAGCTGGGCATGCATCACCTTGTCTGTAGGTTCAATGTCAATCTCAATCTCCTTTCCGGTCAGCGTCTGAAACAGGCAATGGTTTCATGAGTCCTTAAAGCCCAATGTACAATTTGTCTTCTAGGTAAAACATCCTATCTTGGTCTTTGGGATCTAATGCCTTCTAAAAGGTGCATATTCTTATCTTTGGAGAATGAGAAGGCTTTGAACATACCTTCATTTATCAAATTTTTTAGGCTGTGAACAACTTTGATAGGGCAAGATTCTTTGAACCATCAGATCCTCTTAATTGCATGAGTCATCTTCCAAAATCAGTCCCCCAAAACCAGTGAGAATATTGGCATTCTTTTGGATAATATGGCAATGAAAGGTATCTTTTATTTATTTATTTATTTTTGAGATGGAGTTTTGCTCTCGTTGCCCAGGCTGGAGTGCAATGGCGCAATCTCAGCTCACCGCAACTTCCGCCTCCCAGGTTCAAGCAATTCTCCTGCCTCAGCCTCCTGAGTAGCCGGGATTGCAGGCATGCACTACCACACCCGGCTAATTTTGTATTTTTAGTAGAGACAGGGTTTCTCCATATTGATTAGGCTGGTCTCAAACTCCCAACCTCAGGTGATCCGCCCGCCTTGGCCTCTCAAAGTGCTGGGATTACAGGCGTAAGCCATTGCACCCGGCCTGAAAGGTATCGTAAAAAAAGTCAGAAGGACCTTGTTCTAAATATCAATACTAGGAATTAATATTCAGATAATTCAAAGAATTCTCAAGGACATCAGAAATCACCTCTGAGCAGTATTTTTAAAAATGCTAGAATTGGCTGGGCATGGTGGCTTACACCTGCAATTCCAACACCTTGGCAGACTGAGGCGGGAGGATCACTTGAGCCTAGGAGTTCCAGAAGAGCCTGGACAACACGGCGAGACCCTGTCTCAACCGAAAAAAAAAAAAAAAAAAATTAGCTGAGTGTAGTGGTGCATGCCTGTAGTACCAGCTTTTTGGGAGGCTGAAGTGGGAAGATCGCTTGAGTCCAGAAATTAGAGGCAGCAGCAGTAAGCCATGATTGTGCCACTGTACTCCAGCCGGGGCAAGAGGAAGACCCTGGCAACACCCTCGCGGAAAAAAAAAAAAAGAAAAAGAAAGAAAAAGAAAAAAGAGAAAAGAGGACTAGAAGTCAACATTACATCTCCCATATCTTTCCAGACTTCTACCTAAATCCTAAATTGCAGCTCTTGTCTTCTTGACTTCTTCCGTAAGTTAAGGGCTGGTGATATCCAAAACAATAATTACACTGATTATGCAGTCATAAATGTTGTGTCATCTCCCATCTGTCCTTGCTCTTAAAGCTCTATCTGCATTAGTCTACAGTGATCCAGGCCACAAACACACCATGCTCAGTTTAATTTATGGGCATTTCTTTGCTTCCGTTGTTTTCCTTGTTGCAATATCCTCCCCTTCTCCTTCTCCAAACTTCAAGACCCCTTAAATAAAAGACAATCTCCTGGCAGGGCGTGGTGGCTCATGCCTGTAATCCCAGAACTTTGGGAGGCTGAGGTGGGTGGATTACTTCGAGACCAGCCTGGCCAACATGGAGAAACCCTTCTATACTAAAAAATACAAAATTAGCTAAGTGTGGTGGCACATGCCTGTAATCCCAACTACTCGGGAGCTGAGGCAGGAGAATCGCTTGAACCCAGGAGGCGGAAGTTGCAGTGAGCCGAGATTGTGCCATTGTATTCCAGCAATGTATAAAACTTCCTGTATAATGTGTAGACCTGTTCCCAGTGTACTTTATTAATACTTCCAATATTAATATACCAATTACAGCTAGTTGTTTAAGTGTTAAACTTTCCCAGTGTTCGACACATAAGCAGTCAATGAATATTTTTGAAGGGCTAAATATACTGATGATCATGCTATAATCACAGCTAACATTTACTGAAAACTATTTTTTTCCTTTTCTTTATTTTTTAAGGGTCTTGCTCTGTCACCCAGGCTGGAGTTCAGTGGTGTGATCCTGGCTCACTGTAGCCTTGACCTCCTGGGTTCAAACAACCCTCCCACCTCAGCCTCCTAAGTAGCAAGGACTACAGGGTGTGTGCACCACCACACTCAGTTTTTTTTTTTTTTTTTTTTTGAGACGGAGTCTCGCTCTGTCGCCCAGGCTGGAGTGCAGTGGCCAGATCTCAGCTCACTGCAAGCTCCGCCTCCCGGGTTCCGCCATTCTCCTGCCTCAGCCTCCCGAGTAGCTGGGACCACAGGCGCCGCCACCTCGCCCGGCTGGTTTTTTGTATTTTTTTTTTAGTAGAGACGGGGTTTCACCGTGTTAACCAGGATGGTCTCGATCTCCTGACCTCGTGATCCGCCCGTCTCAGCCTCCCAAAGTGCTGGGATTACAGGCTTGAGCCACCGCGCCCGGCTCACACTCAGTTATTTTTAAGATTTTTTTTTTTTGTAGAGATGAGTTCTATGTTGCTCAGGCTGTTTTCAAACTCGTGGGCTAAAGTGATCCTCCTGCCTCGGCTCCCAAAGAGCTGGGATTACAGGCATGAGCCACCTTGCCCAGCCATTGAACACTTTCTAAGGGTCAGTAACTATGATCAGCATCTTACATGCATCACATTTAATTCTCCCAGTATTTATGAGATACAGACTATTACTATTTCCATTTTATAGATGAGAAAAATAAGACTTAGGTTAAAAACACAGCTATGCAATCAAAAGTAGAGCATGGATCCAGATTCCCTGGTCC